GACACAACTCATTACCCATCTCCACTCGGACATCAAGCTGTTGACCACAACTCTCTGTGTGCAGCCATCCAGCCAGTTCCTTATTCTGAGTGGTCCATGTGTCAAATCCAGACCTTTCCAATTTAGAGACAAGGATGACATGCAGGACAGTGTCAAATACCTTGCACACATCTAGGTAAATTCACATCACATTCACTAGGAGGGTGATAGGAGTACAGTGCCATCCCACCCACCTCAGAGTGTTTTGCTCCAGTTTACTTGGACCACTGCAAGTGAAAAATAAAACAGTATCTAATTATTACTCACAGCGGTATCTCAAAGCTGCTGGTGCTCACAGGTCAACAATGAGGAACAAGAGTAACAAAAGTTCCTGCCATCTATTAGGTTTGCCACGCCAGGTGTGTGCAGCCATCCAGCCGATTCTTTATCAGATGGTCCATCCATCAAATTGATGTCTCTCCAGTTTAAAGACAAGGATGTCATGTGGGAAACTTTGTAGGAACATTAAAATTCTAGTTACACATCTGCTTCATCATGGCTCAGCATTCCTAAATTGAAAATCAGGAGGAAATTTAGTGTGATGACAGTAATAGCTCATGGTTGTAAAATTCTTCGGAAAACCAGAGAAAGAAACATACTGACAGCTTAAACTCACCATCTCCTTGTGATCTGTTGTCTAATTCACAAGGCAGCTGTACAACATTCCCCAAATTTGGTGAGACAGTGGAATAGGTTGCCCAGGGAAGTTGTGAATGCTCCAACCCTGGAGGCGTTTAAGGCCAGGCTGGACAGAGCCTTGGGCGACATAGTTTAGTGTGTGGTGTCCCTGCTCATGGCAGGGGGGTTGGAACTAGATGATCTTAAGGTCCTTTCCAACCCAAACTATTCTATGATTCTATGAAATGAAAGAGAAAAGGGGTATGATTTCACTAGGCTGTGTCATGCTGATATATGTGGGTCCAAGATGAGTTGATCAGAATCTTTTTTAGTACTTTGGCATTAATGTGTGTCTGTAGATAGTATAAATGGATTACAGGCTGTCAGCCTGCTTCTAATGACTGCAGTTTGATAGTGACTCCCAATGAGTTAAAGAAGAAGGATTAAAAAGTGAGGAAGAATACACAGTCCTTCACGGGGGTCTTACTGCATTCGTATTTGCTATGCTTTTGTATCCCATAGTCCATTAACATTATGGAGCGGACCCTGCAGAAATATGGAAGCTATGAGAAGTTTGAACAGGCCACTGGAGGCAGCTTGCTGACCAAAAGTCGCATCTGGAATCACGTCAGGAAATACATGGTGAAAGAAGGCTGTCTTGGTGAGGTAAGTCACCCACTGCATCGGGCAAGAAACATTTATGTCACCTTAGAAATTACACACGGATGGGCCCAAGAGACCATTTGTGAGGCCTCTCCTCTGTAATTACAGGAATGTTCCTTACATCATGTCTTTCTCATGGCTGTGCCCAGTCTAACTGCTGAACAATTGAAATGATGCAAATTCCTCGTGAATGCTTCAGCCATCTCTCTGAGCCTGTTTCCTCGTTCAGCTGTGCTTGTTCTTAAATTCACCTCTTTGGGGAGTACCCCAGAACGACACCCTTCCTTCCCTTTTTTCAGCTACTTGGAGATTAGCACATTTCCATTTATTCATCAGTTCTGCCGTCTGCTCTCTTGTATCAAATCATTTACACCAAAAGGAAGAGTTAAGAAAAGGCCAAGAAAAATAAGCAGCAGCTCAGGAGACTGATTTATAAGCAGCAACACAAAAGGAAAGTGACATAAGTGAATAAAAAGGTCTGAAAGAGGTTGGCTTGTTCGGTTGGTTTGAGTGCTGGGTTTTCCTGTCTTTAACCATCTAAGTTTTAGAGCCCTATTGCAAAAAACACTTATTTCCACCATTCAGGATTTAAAAAGTCCCGTTTTACTGAGTTACACAGAATTGCTTGGAAAAATCAGATGAAACTGAACATATAAAGAGAGAACTCCTCCAAATGAAAGCACCAGCTGACACAGTCCAAGACTTGGATGAGATCACTGGCAGTGAGCAACAGGAGTCTGGAACGGGAGACCAAGAGGCAAAAATCAGTTTCCTAGAAACTAGGTTTCATAATATTATTAGGAGGACCTGTTAAACTCATGACACTTTTTGGGGAGACTCCAGTTGGACACTGTTACCACACTTCAGCTGTGTTTCTAAGACTGAGGTTATAAAACTGCAGTTTAGAGCAAGCAGAAAAAAAATCATGGTTTTTGGTCTTTGCTGTGCTTTTATCTCCCTTTGCGTTCATTTTTGTCTTGGTTTGTCTTCATGGAAGCAGGATCCTGCCTCCTCATCAAACATCCCATATCCTTCTTCATGAAATGCTTTACTTTTTCTGCAAAAGCAGGGTTAATACCTCGTGCTTAGCATGGTCTAAAATATTAGGAAAATAGTCTCTCAAGTTGAAGAGGTGTTAATGAAGCGAAGTGATACCTGTGCTTTAAATCTAAATCTTTCCTGCATCGTTAATTGATGGGACTGATTGTTTGCTGTTGAACTTGAAGCTGAGTGATGGGGTTTGAAAACAGGGAAATGTCATGTTAACGTCATTGATCCCTGGGTCCTTTTTTGTTAACTTTTATATTAAAAAATAGGGTACTCTCCCCTGTACTCCTCTGAGCAGTACTCTTCCTTTAGGCATTACGTGACGAGGGAAAGGTGCTTAGTCTTCAGCAAAGAGTTTTCCTTCTTCCTCCCATTCACTCATTTAAAAAGTCTTTTTAAACTCAAAAATAACAAAATATATCAATTTGCATTCAAGTCCTTCTCTGGCAGTTTTTGTTTCGATTACCTATTTTCCACTGGTAATCAGAAAGTAAGAAGTAAATGGTGTGTGTGTGTGTATATACATACACACCATAAATATATATGTATACACACACCATTTATATATATACCAAATATATATATGGTATATTTGTTTTCCTGGTATAAAACAAAACCAAACCAGTATTTTAGTAATATTTCAAGCCTGCATCATGTAGAAGGAATGAGGTACACAGTGCTTCCCCCCTCTTATTTATATGGCTTTAGAATTGCAACTAAGAAGATTTCAGACAGGTAAGTGTACAGATACCTAGTTGATTTATGTGTGCTTATCTAGGATTTTTCAGTTCTCAGTAATACCAAGATAATTAGAGACAGTTCAAAAAATCAAATGTATGTCTTTACCCACATGCTGAGTCCTGAGGTTCTGTCAGCAGCACAGGTGACTGAGCTCAGTGGAGTCAGAAGTGTCTCCCATACGTGATTCCTGGTAGCGAAGAAGGGCTGTGAAGGGCAAAGAGAAATGCCATACTTGGAGGGTCAAAGGCAAAAGCAGGACCAGGAGTGAGAAGAGAGCTCTTTGCTACCCGAATTCTCTCATCTTTAGATTGTGGTCCATCTCACGGAGGACCTGCTATCTCGAGCCTCAATGACAGTGGTGAATGGCCGCCCCACTCTCACTATCAACATCTCCACTGCGCGAGAGCACTGGCTGGAAGGGATGCTGAGACATGAAATTGGTATGAGCACGACATCAGTTCTCCATGCAAAGGGGAGTACTTGCATGCATTTGTACTTCTCTTGCAATGATGGCCGGGCACTGTACGTGTACAGAAGGAACATTCCTATCTAAGAACCTGTGCTGTAGGTTAAAGGGAAGGAGAAGCCTATTTGTCACTGCAGCATGCACTGAAAGGATTCCTGGGGTCCATGGACATCAGTATTTTAGGTCAGATCAGGAGCGAGCTTTTGAAGTGAGCCTGCCAGCTAGTCCCACGTACCGCACTGAGGTTCACTTGCCAAAGGAATCTTGGAGCAGGCAAAGTGTGGTCCTTCCAGATGATGCTAGCTGAGAGGCTCTGCTCCAGGGCATACCTTCTGTGCTGTCACTGCTCGGGGTCATTCTGCTCATGAGATCAATTTAGAGCTAGTCTGGAGTTAAAAATAATGAGGGGAAACAAAAAGATGTGACTCTTGAACCTCAGCACCAGCCATTTCACTGGGCAGATCTGCTTCCATTATGCTGCATTGCTTGCAAACGTAGGCATGCTTTAAGTGTGAAGAATTTACCCAGTGCCCCCTAAACTGGTGTAAGATTGCCTTGATTTTGCATCACACAAGGTTGGCCCAGCCCTGTGGAAGGTTTCTAGAAAGTTTTCAGTGACTGTTTAAACTAAGTACATCAAAACTGGATAAACTTGGCTGGTGCCTGAATTTCAACTGAAGACTCACATTGTAAAGGGACATAGCCTCTTCCAAGGCAATGGTAGGGCTGTTAAATCACCTTCAAGAGGCAACATTTCTGCCCCTTTGCTTTGATTCACCTTCCTTCTGTCCACTACAATGCCTAGCCTATGCTAGAGGCATTCAGCGTGTAAGATGCTTTTGAAAATTCCTTTCCATGGATTTGGGAACTCCAGTCCTGCTGACACGTGTTTTCCTGAGGTATTTATGGGAGTCCCATTTGCAGTCAGCAGGTGAATAATTGCACCATGTATCTGCATCTCTGTTGTAGATGAGTGCCCAGTCCTACCAGTTCAGGGTACTGAAATGGGCATCTCCTGCCGTATTTTATATAGATATATATATGGTTTTAATCATGAGGTGCTACTGCTCTAAGTCCCATATTCCTTTCTTTTCAGGAACTCATTACTTTCGGGGTTTTAACAACAACAGCCAGCCTTGGTGCAACTGGAACGGACGGAGAAAACATGGGCTAAAACCAATCAACCCTACAGAAGAGGGGCTCGCAAGCATCCACAGCGTCCTGTTCCGCAAAGACCCTCTCCTTTGGAGGGCTGCGCTGCTGTACTACACGGTGTACCAGGCTAGCCAAATGTCCTTCAGCCAGCTTTTCCAGGACTTGGGGAAATTTGTCAAGGACCCCAATACTAGGTGGGATTACTGCGTACGAGCCAAGAGAGGGTGGACCGACACATCACAACCAGGTGGGTTCCCTCTTTGTCTTCTCTGGTTTTTTACTTCAGGGGGGTTTTTCCTCGTGTCACACAGTAAAACCTTTTCAAAACAGAGCCATGGACCCTGCACTTTCTGAAGGGAGGCAGCAGGATTTCTGCTATGGAAAACAAGGCTGAAAATGCACACCGTGAGGCTTTCAGACTGAATGCAGTAATGGATGCTCTTTGTTGTTGGAAATGGGAATGTAAATTGCAAAGCCATGAAGGAGTTCATACAGTTTGATCTCCTTTCATGTTTAGTACAAGAGATGTAATGTTGCTATGGATATTCATAGGTGCCATCTTCTGTGTTTGATTTCTTTCTCTGGTTAGTGGGTCTAGCTTTCAACTTCATTTTTGGGAAGGTTTTCAAAGCCTGGGATATAAACGTTTAGTTTTTAACAATACAATTGTTCTGCTCATAATGGCTTCTGGGAATATGCCTTGAACAAACCCTGACAATGTCTCCTGCTTCCTTTTAGGCTGTTTCAATAAGGATCAGGTGTACTTGGATGGCATCCTCCGAATCCTGCGATATAGGGAGTCCATTGACTTCCACCTGCTGACAGCCCTTGGAAAGGTGAGTGGACTCATTCTTACCCCAGGGTACCCCAGTTGTATCATTTCAGCAAAGCTGCCTGTAAAGAGCTGTGAGTCGTCGTGCTCTGCTTCTCTTTGATGCAGAAATCTCTGCTCTGTGCAGCACCTTGTATTACACACTGCAAGTTACAAGTATTCTGAGGTCCTAAAAAAATTTCTACCAGCTTTTCCTCATTCCTCACTTATCAGATTAAGATTTTATGGTCATATTTCTCAGACTTTCCTCCCTTTACAGGGTGATATTTGACTTGCAGTACAAGGGACTGCCTTGGGCAACTAGTGCTAGATAAGGTGGTGGTCCTAGTAGGAAGCAAAATGAATCATCTGATGCTCACACATCCCCATCCACAACAGGGAGTTTTCCATTAAAAATTTCTCTCACTGATGGCACCTGTAATGATTTTTAAAAACTCGGTTGTTTTGGGTTTTTCCCCCCCAGAACACATGTTATTTTTACATTCACAGAACATATTTTATGCCCATTCTAACTGCCATTGCTTGTTTGCTCTCATAATCATACTGAGTGGTGCAGAAACTTTGTCACGCTTCCTGAACCAAATCCTTGGATTGCAAAGTTTCCACAGTTCATAAAGCAGGGCTCATACTCACATAAACCAGGCTTCCAATTGATGTTATTACGCTTGCATTTAGAGCTGGCACACCAATATTTGTGCCTACTTGGCAATCAATGGGCGATAAAGGGAAGCAGCATATTATGACAGAGGCGCTTGGTCCACCCTTTTGCCTTTAGTGTCAGGAATATCCATATTGGTGAGCAGAACTATTTAGGTGACTGAACCAAGTTAAGAAGCTCTGAAAATAAAATTGCACTGTCAAATAAGTCCCTGCAACTTTCGTCTCTGAAACTTCCTTTTGCTTTAAGCCTGCTTAGCTCCACACAGCTTCTG